ATGAACTTAATCGGTGGCCTATCAGAACTCTTTAAAGCCTGCTTTTTTTAGTCAATTGCCTAAGTAACTTGATTCTAAATCTTGAGGAGATCTTGATAACAGTATCATTGTACGTGAATCATATTCATTGTGCACAGTTCGTGTTTCCCAGTGAAAACCTTATGTTTTCCTATTAAGTTATAATTATCCTTGAAATTTCATAAAAATTTAAATCTTGACATGCTATTTAATTCTATTACTTAGAAATTCCTTATTGCTATGCTTTACTTCAAGTTGTTATTAGACTAACCTCATATTTTGTTTAGGCATTTCCATGCGAGTCCAACACTGCTTGCTAGGAGAAAGGAGGACGCATCACTGGGCCTAAAGATTTCCGAGAGATGTAAGGTTTCAAATAATGGAAAGTTCTCAAAAAGAAAGAAAGAGGCCAAACCCCCAGTCGGGACCCCATATTTGCTGCCTAAACTAAAAAGAGGTGCAAAGTCCTCGGCAGATAAAACAATTTAAATATTTGAGGGCATGAATGTTGTAGAGCTTGCCAAGCGCTGTGGAGAATCTACAGCTACGGTGCAGCATATCATTGTAAATGTTGGGGAGAAAATTGACTCAGAATTCGACCCTCTCAGCATCGATATAGCAGAGCTGGTTGCAATGGTAATCACTTTTGTCGAGAACCAAATTTAAATGAATAAACATGTCCACTCTCTAAAAGCTTAAGCTTTTAGGTGAGAGGTGGTTTAACATGGTATCATAACAAGCAAAAGTACTGGCTTCAAGCCCCGTTGCCACCATTTATGAAAATTGTAGACATGTCATGATTTTGATGAAAATTGAATTCATCCTGTTGAGATGGCATGTTGAAGAATAAATTAAACAAATAATCATGTTTTCTCTTAAATAACTCAAGCTTTTATATGGAGTGATTCAACACCTTTAAACGTGGATGTGTTGTTTTGGTCTTATCTTGACGAGAAAAACTTTCTTGATGATGCATCGACAGGGAACATCAAATTACAAATTCTCCACAATAAACTCCCAAAGAAACCAATTATAAAAGATTGGATGGATCATCTTATTTATATTAACACTAGGATTGTACATCTTGAAGAGTTCATTCAGTTAAAATATTGGAAGTCTTGTTGTTCCTTCAAGAAGAAAAAACAAAATAACCCAGAACAAGAAAGAAGGAAACCACCAAAATATGAATCAAGTCGAATTTTGCATAGGATTCATCTGCTTAATCTCGTTTCTTTGTGTATTTCAGTGTAAAAAACTTTAAATCTTTTGTGAATAATGATTTTTCCTCTTGGTTGCCTACCTGATAATAATTAGGGCTGTCTGAATTCTTTCAGGAAATTGGAGTCAATGTGTGTAGGCTGCATTCTGGTGATGGTGCTCACGTAGTAGCACGTTCCCAAGTTGTCACAGTGATGGGACATGTTGACCATGGTAAAACGTCTCTATTGGATGCTCTGCGACAAACGTCCTTGGTGGCAAAAGAAGCTGGAGGCATAATACAACACCTGGGCACATTTATTGTTGGCATGCAATCTGGAGATTCGATAACATTCCTGGACACTCCTGGCCATGCTGCCTTTAGTGCAATGCGAGCCAAAGGTGCAGCAGTTACAGACATCGTTGTACTTGTGGTCGCCGCAGATGATGGTGTGATGCCTCAAACTCTTGAAGCAATGTCTCATGCAAAGCAGCAAAAGTACCAATTGTTGTTGCAATTAATAAATGCGACAAACTGGACGCAAACCCAGAAAGAGTAAAAGTCCAGCTGGCGGCAGAGGGGTTGCCGCTCGAGAAGATGGGTGGAGATGTCTAGGTTGTTGAATTTTCTGCTGTAAACAAAGTTGGACTCGATAAGTTGGAGGATGCATTGCTTCTTCAGGCTGAGTTGGTGGATCTTAGTACACGCATTGATGGACCTGCCTAAGCGTACGTAGTCGAGGCAAGGCTCGATAAATAGTGAAGGCGAGGACCTTAATTTGTGGACAGCATGTCGTCGTCGGTGCTGAGTGGGGAAGAATTAGATCTATTAGGGATATGGCGAGGAATAGGGGTGGGCAAAAAACCGCCCAACCCGCCCGACCCAACCCAAACCGACCGGGTTGGGTTGGTTTTTTTCATTTTTTTGGTTGGGTTCGGGTTTGGAGCGTTGAAGGTGGGTCAGGTTGGGAACTTTTTTTCAAACCGGTCAAAACGGTTTGGTTTAGGTTTGAGTTTTTCTCAAACCAGTCAAAATGGTTTGGTTTGAAAATTTGTCAAAAATCGTAAAAATCGGACCGCTTACACCCCTACCTCCAGGGCTGGGCCTGATCTGCTAATCTCTGATACTTTTGATGTTGGATAAAGTTCTGATATAAAATCAGAACGGCTCTGTTTCGCGCGTTTTCGCTAGCTAACAATTAAAAAGGGAATCAGACGATTGTGTAAGGGACAAACCTCTTGGAACAAAGTCCCAAAAAGGGGTGTTTATCGAATATGAAGATTACAGTTTGGACACGAACAAGATGCCTCCAAGGGGCGCAAGCACACAAGTACAAGGGAATTGAAGTAATTAAAAGTTAATCTAAGAAAAGTAAATTACATGTTCTCTGTTTTGAGAGTGAATTTTGTCGGGCTTCTCTTCGTTGTCTTCTTCCTTCTTTTATACGGTCTGAACAGTTTTGATCGTTTTAGCAACTACTTGTAACTACCCATGTCTTTCATCATGGTCGGTTGGCTAATAACTACCGTGAGCAACTCCTATCACTACGCTCTCTTCATAACTGCTTGCCACCAACTTTTTCAAATCGTGGGGCGTAATTATGATGTGCTCAAATCGTCTTAAATCGTGATTTTGGATAACAACAAACTTTAGTCATTTCTGGGATTTTGGGCGACTCAGCATTCTTGGGCGACAATTAATCTTCTGCTCTGGGCAATTATAGGGTGTTTCATTCGCTCAATATCTGGGCGTTCTGCAGGCTTGGGCGACGTCGTACCTTTGTCTTTTTGGGCTTTCATTATATTTAATGATATTTCTGGTTGGGCTTTTACCCTGATCTTTTTATATGAGCTTCTTCTTTTGAGTCATTTTCTCTCTTGGACCATTTGATTTGGGCTGCCTGTTTTGTGTGTCAACAGTACCTAGTTAAATTTGTTATGGATAAATCGCTAATTCTATATTACCCAAAGCAAAAATAACACGAAAAGAGAGAATCTAAAGCAAATATGAACACAGAATTTAAATTGTTTCTTATGCAATCGTGATGAGAAATAGAAATAGGGAAGAGAAAGAGGAGATAATATAGAAGAATTTGGGGGAAGAGATATTCAATGTTCAATCAATAATCAAGGTTT